TCATTAGCACCTCTAGTGATATATTTACTGAGAAAAATGGTGACGTGTTCAATACTTATTTTACCTGCCGTATAAATTAGGCTATTGTTTTTATTTTACTGTCACAGCTCTAACCCTCCTTTTTATTATGGCTTGGGTCTGGCAAGAAAGACACTTAATAGGGATCTCTTTTAACCATAAAAATGTTTTAATTAACATCCTATCATGGATCAATCAGCAGCAGCTTCTAACTAACTTGATTTGTTTCCAGTCTGGATGGGATGGATATCTGTCTCCAGATAGAGTCTCTATGAGTCTCAATAACACCAGAAAAAGAGTCACTTTTCTGAAAAGTAGTCTCTAGAGGGGTCTGAAACTCAGTAAATGTAGTGACAAAGTCACTAAATTGGCACTGCTGTGTTTCACAACCTGTCACCTCTAATGTCAGCGAGCCATGTTTTGGGTCTATTACGTCACGCATTGAAACAATCAAATTATTGTATATTTTGGGTTTTTTGGAATTATTGATCATACAGAGGGCAACATYATCATACAAATACTATAATTATCATACGTCTGGCAACACTGAAAGAGAATTGTAGGGACACAACTTCCCTTGACCTTCCCTCTGCTCAGTGCTGTCAGAAAAGAGCAGAGGGACTTCTAAAGGACCCACTACATCCAGCTCCCTCGCACCTCAGTTACAAAAACTGCACAAACAATCTGAGACACAACAGAGCAGACAGTGTCATCACTCACAGAACAAGATTATTTAATAGTTTTCTGTTTTGGTGCTATTAGAAATGTTTGACTATGACTCTGACAGAGCTCTGCACAAGAAGTACTTTTGTTTGTGCACAAATAGGAAATAAAGAGCTTTGAATCTTTGAAATTTTTGAAATATTTACCACATTTCCTCCTTGTCATTAGGCTCCACCTCCAAAGCAGGTGTGGTGCGTTTCCCTGATGATAGTGAACCTCCTGGCTCTCCAACCCAGAGAGATGACCCTCCAAACGCCTCCACACTGACCGCTGTCCTGGAGAAGGATAACAGCTACTTGGTCAAGGTAGGTGTATGTGTTTATGTATGTTTCTGCTACCTGGCGGGGACTATTTCTGACAATTTTCCCGGTACACACAACCTGATGAGGACCCACTGTTCCTTAAGTGGACAAAAGYCCAGTTCCCATTGGGGAACTACCATTAGGGGGTTAAATTTAATGTAATATACTGATAAACATTAAACTTTCATATATTTTAGATTCATTGCACACCAACTGAAGTAGTTCAAGACTTTTATTGTTTTAATATTGATCATTTTGGCAAAAAAGTAAAGAAAAACCAAAAATCCCGATCTCAAAAAATTAGCCTATTTCATCCGACCAATAAAAGAAAAGTGTTTTTAATACAAAAAAGTCCACCGTCAAATAATTATGTTCAGTTCTGCACTCAATACTTGGTGGGGAATCCTTTTGCAGAAATGACTGCTTCAATGTGGCGTGGCATGGAGGCAATCAGCCTGTGGCACTGCTGA